AGTGGGAGTGACCGGGGTCACAATGCATAAACAAACTGATTCGTTGTCCCTGCTTCGCAAAGATAGCCACCAAGTCCTGTCGGCTGGGACCTGAATGACTGTGTCCTTTCTCTTACCGAACACAGCTTAATTAGCTCAAGCCCAACCTTCCGGCCCTCGGGTTCAACATGGCTTCCAATGGAAGGAAGTCTTCCCTACCACTCTGCTTGCAGCCCTCATCACATTTATGCCATGCCATCATATGTGTAGCTGATAAATGTCTGTCCCCAGTAGAATATGTGCTCCATGAGGGCAGGGGCCAAGTGTTTCTTTCACTACCTATCCACCTTCAGTGACAAGAATTATTTTATACACAAGGACAATAGCCAGGTTCTAATGCAGAGGCCACGGAACTCTTCTGAAAAGGAGCACACGCTTTCCACGTGACTCATCCCGGAAGTCACCCAATGGCCTAAGGCTGCCCCTTGACACCATCTCACCCTTTACCCTTGAGTGAGAGTGTGGAGTGCTGTGGTGATTATTTGTAGCTAGCAATTTGGCTGGGTTAAGAGAGGCCCAGATACATGGTAAAGCCTTATTTCTGGGTATGTGTCAGAGGGTGGGTTTTGGGGGGATGTTTTGGGATTTTTTTGTGGGGTTTTGGCAGAACTAGAAATTGAACCCAGGGCCTACACACTGAACCACATCCTCAGCCCTTTTTTCTGTTTTTTAAAAAGGATATTGCTGAGTTGCCCAAGCTGGGCTTGAACTTTCAGAGCTCCTGCCTCAGCCTCCCAGAGTACTGGGATTTCAGAGTGCGCCACCACACCCAGCTAGGAAGGTATTTTATAAAAAGATCTGTCTGAACCCATGCACTGAGTAAGGAAGATCCTTTCTCACCCAAAGTGAATGCGCAGCAGCTAATCAGCCGAGGGCCAGGATAGAACAAAAAGGCAGAGGAGAGGCAAACTGGCTCCTTCTCCCTCTCCCTCCTGGCCTCTCCTTGGAGCTGGGACACGCCTCTGTCCTGCCCTTGGACAGCAGAATTCCAGGCTCTGCAGCCTCAGGTTCTTGGCCTTTCAACTCTGACAGATTTAGAATACTGGCCTCTCTGGCTGGGAGGTTCTCAGACTTGACTTGCACTGAGCCACTCCACCAGCTTCCCTGGCGCTCCCGCTCACAGACAGACCATCTGGGACTTCTCAGCCCCGTGACTAACAGGTCAGTTGCCCTAACAAAGCCACCCTGATACACACACACACACACACACACACACACACACACACCTGCATCCCCTATGGACTTTGTCTGATGGGAAAACCCTAATACAATGGCTCAGGGCCACTTCTCCATATACTTGGGGACATACTTCCCAGTATGGCTTCCCAGGCACCCCCTTTAGGCTCCTCTGAGGGACATCAGACCTAGAGATACTAGGAAAGTTAGCGTTAGACTTTCCCAAGGAGATCTGCGCCTCACCACCCCAGCACCACTGACCCACCCCAAGCTCTATCTTTCCTCCTCTGTCCCCACCCCACGGGCAGCCCTTGTCCAGCAGACCTCTGTTCATCCTTTATAGAAAAACATCATCCCTGCATAATCCCGAGGAAAGGCAAGGTGTGCGGAGAGGTTTCTCAACAGCCTGCAGGACCCCCTCCTCCCGTCTCCATCTGCGGGACATTGCGGTGTCTCCGAGGGAGAGCCCTGCCTGAGGAAGACAGGGCCAGGCATGACCGACCTGAGCCACAGACAAAGCCTGGGTTGAGACAGGAGGTGTGACCAGCTCTGTCACTGATGCCCGACCCTGAGGGGACAAGAGAGGAGAGGGCTGGACGTCAAAATTGAGCTGCTCTCATACCAACGCCAGTGTTGCAGGAATCCCAAGCCTGACCATAGAACCCGCAAATGTGAAAAAGGAAGAGGGACTTTCTCTTCCCTTTTATATGCACTCAGGGAGACCTGGGAGCACCTGAAGTCCCCTAGAGAGTGTCTCCAGGGAGAGACGACAGCACATTTGAACTAGGACGGCCTAGACTGACAGGACCCATGGTACCTGGAGAGGACACAACTGTCCCTTTCCTCCTCACTGGGACAAAATACCCAGTACCTACATCTGAAAGGAAGAGAAGTTTATTTTGGCTTGTATTTGTGGCCCGTGGTGAGCTGGCTCCAAGGCAGAGGGCATGGCGGAAGGGTCTGGCGGAGGAAAGCGGCTCACCTCATGGTGATGAGAAAGCCGGGAGAGAAACAGAGGGAGAGAGACTGGGGGGTCCTTCCAGGTCACACCCTCAAGTGACCCGCCTTTTCCGACCAGGCCTCCCTTCCAGCAGCACACTTAGCTGTGAACTCACCTTGGATTAATCCCCCTATGAGTACAACACCCGTGGGATCCACTCACCTTTCAAAAGCCGTACTTCTGAACACCTGAGGCCTGGGGGTGACTGTCTAGATCTAAATCACAAGAACCAAAGCCACCAGCACCACCTCTGACTCAACCTGCATGGAACCTACAGGGGACCCTGAGGCATTTAGAGGGGCCATGCTGGGACCCACACACATACAGAGATGCACGTGTGCCAGCTGTGATGGCAGCTTGGTCCCCTGGTTACTTTAAGCAATTTGTTAAAATCTCAATGGTCCCCAGAGACACGGACCTTCCAAATCTGAGTCCAAGGAGACGAGTTTATGGATCATGATTAAATTGCTGAGAAAAGGTATAAAGCAGGAGAATATTAAACATAAATCAGACAAATGAGCCTGCGGCCCCATTAGTAATGAGAGCCTTGGACGTGGGCCAGCAGCACAGGGTCTCAGGGACACTCAGTCCTGGGTGAGAGCGCTGGGCACAGGACCGAGCCCACCTCCACCCCTGCCTCGCCTTCTGGCTGCAGAGGCAGGAGCAGGGCCCCGCGTGCAGCAGATGCAGGGGACGCCTGCGGAGGGAACAGTGAGTTCCAGGAGTGCGTGCTATGCCGCCGGGCCGGGCCAGGCCACGCTGGGCAGCGGGGTGGGATACAACCAAGCTCCTCTGTCTGTTTCACACCCAGACGGAGGCTCTGAGGCTGTCAGCCAGCCCAGGTGAAATGCCAAGGTGGCCCAGTGACTTGCCTCACCTCCTGCCCAGGAGGCACCCGCCCACCTGCCTGGCATTCTCCCCCACGGACAGGCACCCCTGAGGGCACTGCCGACCAGCTCCGCCCATTTGTCCTCCAGAGTCCCCACGCAGGCACCCTTCAGCACCAGAGCACCAGACCGAGCTGGGAAGCACAGGACGAGCAGCCAGGCCTTTTCCAGACCCCAGTGAGAAGCTGAGCACCCAAGGGACAGTGCAAAACACAGTGCCCTTAGCTGGACACAGTGGCGCCCGCCTGTAATTCCAGCACTCGGGAGGCTGAGGCAGGAGGATCACTGTGAGTTCAAGGCTAGCCTGGGCTATATAGTGAAGGCCAGACTGTGCTACATAGTGAGACCCTGTCTCAAAACAAAACAGCAGAGTGGCCCAGTGGTCCCCAGCACTCCCCACCCCAAGCGTTGCTACGGGCCTCGTGTTGTGATGGATGGCCTTTGGGAAGAACGAGGGAAAGGTGAGACCAGAGCTACCCGCGCCCGATCTCACTGCTCTCCTGGCACAGAAGAGCTCGTGGCCAAGCGCGATGGGCAAAGACAACGCACTTGCACTTCGTTCTCTCTGAGGAGAGGTACCCAGCTGAGCCAGTGACTGAGTTCAAATCATCCGGATCCACTGGCCTGGGGACATGGGAGCGGAGGGGCCAGTCCAGAGCAAGTGTTGTGGTTTGAGGTTTTGCAAGGGGAACAATACAGTACAGGACACTTAATTATAAGATTATTTATAATAGTCGCCCACAGAGTTATTTACAAAAAGAGAGTACAGGAAATCTGTCCACACACTAAAGACCAAAGAATCCAGCTGAGGGCCTGGATCCCACGGTGATATCCTGCATAAGTCCAGCTGAAGACCTAGAGCCCACAACAATGCCTCCCACGAGTCCAATGGGGGCCAAGAGCCCACAACAATGTCCCATGCAGGGGCTGGGGATTTAGCTCAGCAGCAAAAGCGCCTGCCTGGCAAGCGCAAGGTCGTGAGTTCGGTTCCTGGTACCGGAGAAAAACCAAAAAAAACAAAAACAAAAACAAAAACAAAACAACGTCCCATGCAGGTCTGTTACACGGATCTGCACTGAGAAGGCCCGAAGGTCAGTGGTGGAATCTGAAATGTCTGTGCCAGTGGAATGGAGGATCTGTGCCAGCAGGCTGAGGGATCTGCACTGGAGCCAGGAAGTGATGCTCAGAAGAACCAGAGCTCCCCCGAAAGGTACCACAGCCATCCTCAGCAACAGTGAGGGCCCGAGCTCCTCTGATGAGGAGGAAAGCCGAGTTCCCATCAGGAAAGCCAAGTGACAAGCTCCTCCCGGAAAACCAACAGCTCCCTACAGCTTCCCTACAGCTTCTCTTCTTGTCCAGTTCTGCCTCTTACGCTGCTGGCAACAGTCCTCAGGTGGGCCTCCCATACCCAGCACCACGCTGACTCAGTTCAGCCGGGGGTTACAAGTTGACCACCAGTTGTCATCCGTCTCAGCCAGTCTCCCTGCATCTGAGGCCCGCTGTGCCATCCCCGACAGTCTCGGCACCACTGCTCTGGTCAGCTCACGGTTACTGAGATGCTTGGCACCCAGGCAGGGGCATCGCAGGGTGAGAGCTTGTGGTTTCTGTCTTCCTGAGCAAACCCCCTTCCTCTTCACCTTTGTGGGGAGACCCGTAAAGCAAACAGTAACGGGGAGAAGCGTTTGATAGAGGAAAACCGCGAAAGCCTCTGGGGAGGCCCTGAGCCCTGAAGCAAGTGGGGGGAGAGGGGACCTGGAGCCATGGGAGCAGCCGGCTGGCTGGAGTCAGGGCCCGGAAGGCAGGCCCAGCTCTCCCTGGGTGAGGCGAGGCTTGGTTCGGAGTGTGCACACCACCACTGTGAGAATGCGCTGAGCTGAGCGCGGCCAGCTCTGACTCACCGGGCACAGGCGGCCGGGGTGGACGGCAGACTCTGGGACACCTCTTCCACATGAGCCGGCCACGGCCCCCGCGCGGCCCGGCCCTGGCGAGAGATCACCTGAGAGGAGGCACACGCACGTTGATAGGGAGCAGTGCTGGCCTGAACCTTGCTGGGCTCTGACACACCACGGCAGGAGCCCTGGGCAGCCGCTCCCCTCCACGCCACGTGACCAAGGGTGGTGCTGGATGCCCAGGGCGTGGGACATGGAAGGGGTGGGGCCAGAGCTCCAGGCGCCTGCGTGGGTGCCTCTGACTCAGACAATTTGGCACAAGTTCTCTGCCAGGCGCGTCTCTCCTGCCACTCATTTCCTATTTTGGGCAAAAATGGTCTTTTTCGGTAGGCATAGTGGCACATACCTGTAACCCCAGGACTCCAGGAGGCTGAGGTAGGAGAACAGCAAGTTCGAGCCCGATTTAGAGACTTAGTGAGACCATGTCTCCAAATGAACAATAAAAAAGGGCTGAGGGTGTGGCTCAGAGGAAAAGCCCGAGGCTCATCCCCAGCACAGTATCTCCCCACCACAAGCCTTTTTCCTCACAGACCCATAGTGACCCGAAGGTGATTACACCACTGGGGGGTACGGCACTAGACGAGGCTGGCCAGTGTGCAGGGCCGGGGGACAGCAAGGGCGAGGACGAAGTTTGGGGCTTTGCCGCCTCTACACACGGCTGAGCCTGGGACCCCTGGATGGAGGGGTTCAGAAAAAGCATGTGCCCTCATCTGTGATTATTACTACCAAAACCAGAATTGGTATTTATTAAGCCCCACACTCTTGCATTTCATTTGAATCTCATAATAGCCCTGAGGTAGGGCTATCATGTCCTGTGAGGCAGTAGCGCTCTTGGGCCCATCTTCCAGATGGGATGGTCATGGTGGCACACACCTGTAATCCCACCATTCAGGAGGCTGAGGCAGGAGGATCGTTGTGAGTTCGAGGCCAGCCTGGGCTACAAAGTGAGCTCAAGGCCAGCCTGCACTGCATAGTGAGACCGTCTCAAAAAGACAAAAAAATAAATAAATAAACAGCTGGGGAAAGGCAGCCCAGATTGGGAACTCCTCCAGCCATTCGAGTGGTAGAGGCGGGACTTGATCTCGTTCTTTCCTCCTCACCACAGAACATTGGCTTGGCCGGGTTTCTGTCTCCCTGGACGCCAAGGCCCGAGTGAGTAGGACCTGCCAGTGTCCACCAGGCCTTCCTGGGTACAGCACGGCGCTAAGCAGCTGCCGTGTGCCACCTTGTCAACCCTGTGGGCAGAGGTGCTAGTCCCCCCAGTTCACAGCATGGGGAGGAGAGGTCCAGAGAAGCTCATCACAGCTCCAGGGCCAGGGCACACAGCTGTCTGTGTTCCCGCTGGAGCCCACTCCCCCACCAGCGTTCCTGGCAGACCCAGCCAGGGAGGCCCAGCTGGGAGCAGCTCCCCGGGAATGTGCACCCCCAGGGACTGCCAAGCATGCAGGGCCCAAGGCAGGCACTGTGCTCTCCTCCGCCTTGGAGCTCAGGCCTGCGTAACCCCTGGGCTCCCCACAGAGCCTGTGTCAGGGGATGTCCTACCACGGGGACACAGCAAGTAAGTGCGCTCAGATTCCGCCCAGCCGTCCTCACCGAGGGAGGGGACCACCCACCCCTCACGGCCCCTGCAGCCAGCACGGCCCACCCCAGGCCATGCTCAGCACCGCCTGCAGGAGCAGAGCAGGGTGGGCGGGCTGACAGGCAGGGAAGGGGGCTGGCCAAGGGGAAGGGGCACGCTAGAAGGAAGCCCAGAAGAGCTCGCAGGGGCCTGCAAAGAGCAAGCACACCGGCCGTCCTCCCGGCCCAGAGCGGGGTGCAGCCGGCGAGTTCCCCTCCCTCGGCCCACACCTGTGAGGAGAGGGGCCACCTGGCCCCGTGGGGAAGCAGCTGTCTCCCCGACAGCCCCCGCTGCTCCCATGGACGGCCATCTGCTCCCCCCGCTGTCTGCCTCAGCCTCTCCCTCCACCTCCCGGTGCTGCCTCCCACTTGTGGGGTCCCACAAGTATTGTCCTTCATCTTCAAGTCACCCCCAAAGTCAGGATCCCGAGCAGCTCCATGTTACAAAAGAGAAACTGAAGCAGAGCAACCTGAAGTGCTGAGATGCCTCGCCCGTAACCCGCGAGCACAGCTTAGTGATGCCAGGACAGAGGCCAGGCCGGACTGCAAAGGCTTCCGTACTCTGCCTCAGCCTCCAAGCCTAACGTGACAGCACTGCCCCCAACCGTCCCGAAGGCGACCCGCAGCGGGGAGCTGTATCGCGCCCCCCGGAGCAGCACTGCCGCTCTCCCCACCTCTGGCCTCTTGCAGAGTCCTTGTCCGGAGAAGCCCGACACATCCACACTCAGGCTGTTCCCTCTCCCACTGCAGTGCCAGCGTCGGGCTCCCCAAATGCTGTTTACTAATGAATCCCTGAGAATTTGCAGTAAAGCTGATGGGGCCTAACTGATGGGCCCGGGACGAAAGGGAGCCCATTACCCAACACTCGCTGCTATGATCTTAAAACAGATGTTTGAGGGTGGGAAATGATGGCTTGTGCTTAGGAACTGCGGATACAACTCCAACCTTCTCTTTTATTGCCGCTCATAAATGTGAGATGCAGCAAGATCTACATGGGAGACTCAGCTGCTGCCGTCCCACACTGCATTACTAAAGTCAAGGCTATGTTTCAGAGCTGGTGTCCTAGTGGTTATGCTGCAACTCCAGGGACCGGCATGCAGGAAAAAGCCAGATTCCTGGTCCCGGAAATGTCACCAGGACTCACCTCTGTTCTCCCGGTCCTCAGGGTAGACAGAGAAAGATTCACCAGCTCCTGCCCTGAAGAGTTTACACTTCAGGGAACACAAACCAGCAAACTGGGCCCTCCCGGCCTTCCAGAACCCAAATCACCTGCGTCCTGGCACATTTACACGGGCCGAGTAGGAAGGGGGATTAGCGCACTATGGATGGGATTTGTGATTTACATAGAGGGGTCCACGGCTCTCCAGAACTGCCCTAGGCCACCCCCGAGGAGGCTCAGGAAGCTGGCTGTGCACCAGCCCAACCCTCTGCCTCCTCACAGCTGCCCTGGAGGAAGCAGGCTGTGGAGGGGGCAGGGAGACCCGCAAGACAGCCTGGAAATGTGGGGCCTCCTCGGGCAGTTCCCAGCAACCTTCTTGGCACCTGTCCTAGGACCACCTGCGCCGAGCCTGCTCACAGGGTGGCACGGAACCCTCAGCCAGCACAACCCCTCTGAAACTCACACACAGATGGGCCTGGACCAGTGTGAGGGGTACCCTCTGGTCAAGCAGTATCAAAGTCTGCGTCCTCAGTCCTCAGAATGGGACTTCTGGCCGGGGATATAGCTCAGTGGCATAAGCGCCTGCCTGGCAAGTGCAGGGTCCTGAGTTCGATTCCTGGTACCAAAAAAAGAATGGGACTTCCTTTGGAAACAGTTTTTAGAGTGAATCAAGTTAAAATGAGGTCACCACGGTGGGCCTGCGTCCATGCCTAGTGCCCTTATCGAAGGGAATTGGAGCCAGTCACGGTGGTCTCCGCCATGTGGCAGTCTGAGATGCGAGGATCACTTGAGGCTAGGAGTGCAAGACCAGCCTGGGCAACATATGAGAGTTTGTCCCAAAGGGGCAGGGGCTTGGATATGAACAGAAAAAAAGATGAAGAGGAGACAGAGGGAGGGGGGCGTCTCCAAGCCAAGGAGCGCCTGAGGCCGCCAGTCAGCTGGAGAGAGGCCCACGCTGCTTCCTCTCATCGCCTTCAGAGGGATCCGGCCCTGCGCATGCCGTGGTTTCAGACCTTCGGCCTGCAGAACTATGTGAGAATGAATTTGTTGTTGAAGCCACCCAGTTGGTATGGCCTGTCACAGCAGCCTTAGGAAGTGAGCACATTCATGGCCTAGGGGACGCCACGTGAGCCGGTCAGAACAAGGCTAGAAGGGAGCCCGTTGGCATGAGTGGGTGCAGCTGTGCCCCTGGCTCTCGGAAGTTCCAGGGCAGAGGCGGCTTCACCCTAACATGAGACCCCACCTCCAGGACCCAGGAGAGGTCCAGTGAGGAGTCCGTGCTTTTGGTGAGAAGGGCCATTTTAACAGGGCTGAAAAGAAAAGGGTGTTTAGCCGGGCGTGGTGGCGCAGGCCTGTAATCCCAGCACTCGGGAGGCTGAGGTAGGAGGATTGCCACAAATTAGAGGCCAGCCTCAGCTACATAATTACCTTCAAGGCCAACCTGCACTACATAGTGAGACCCTGCCTAAAAAAAGGGGGGGGATATTTAATCACCCCCATGTCTGCCACTGAAATTAGAAAAAGGCTCACTGCTCACCAAGGTCCAGGCCTGTGCTCTGCCCCAGAGCAGCCACCCAGCTGCAGCAACTTAGCAAGCTCCTGGGCCGGCCTGGCTCCTCCCCTCCGACAGCCAGGCCCTTTTACTGCGGCCCAGGCTCCCTGTAAAACCTGCCAACGCCCTCCTAAAACTATCAGGACCCTCCACTCAGGCTCAAAGGTGGCGACCCCGCTGGCTCAGGGTTGAGGAGGTGAGCACGCCAAGCCCCAGCCATTTCTTCCCCAGTTAGTTCCCCCTACCTTGGCATGACGCTTCCAGGGAAGAGCTCCCCACTTTGTTTTGTTTTGGGGTTTTTTTTTTTTTGTTTTTTTTGGTACCAGGAATTGAACTCACAACCTCAGGCTTGCCAGGCAGGCACTGTGCCGCTGAGCTATATCCCGGGCCCCAGAGCTCCCCACTTTGAGGGGCCCAGATGCTCACACAGCCTGAGGCCAGGCCCCCAGGAAGTGCTAGGCAAATGACGAATGACCCACTGGCCCTTTACCTATTAGTCAAGGGCGCCCCACACTCAGCACAGGGGGCCCACGCACACCCTGGGTGCCCGGAGTGCGGGCCAGGGCTTCATGAGACCCCTCCAGGAGCCTGTGGCCCTTCCTGTCCTCCGGGCTCACTTCCCACCGCCCCATCTCAGAGGAAGTCCAGCATCTTCAAGCCTCGAGGGCCCCTCTGCCCAGGGCAACACTGCCCCAGCCATCCTGGAAGGAGTGGCCACTACGAAGGGGAGGTGGGGGTTTTGGGCAAAGAAACAGCGAGGGGCGGGTCCTCCGCGGACACCACCCCACCCCCATCCTCACAGCCTGCAAGCTGCAGGCCCCGCTCGGCGCCTTGTGCGCGCTCTCCCTGGCCGGC